AGCCAAGGGCAGCAAGCACATATGTGGCTGAACACAGCTGTGCTTTGGAGAGGGCAGCATCTAAGATAGTTTCTGCAGAAACCCATCCTTAACTTCGGAATCTCCTCTGGGTGGCCAAGAGGCATTCAAGGTGGAAAACTCAATGTCTGAATCTCTTCTGCAACCTTACCAGCTCTGGGGTGTGCTCTAAGACATCTCCACAACCTCTTCCTAAGAGCAGCATTGCAAAAGAGCCCCACTGGATAATCCAGAAACCCGGGTTTGGTTCCACTTGTGTAAGCAGTTTATCAGGCAAGAGGTGATATTTCATCCCTCCTCCTTGAGGGAGCTGGTGTGCTTCTGAACATGTGCAAATGCCTTTGATACTTCAATAATAATGGATAAATGGCAGCCTGGCTTAGCAGGAACAGATCTTGCAAGACAAGTGTGATTGGTTCCACTGTTGACAGAATGGAAAAGGATCCAACAGCCAAAGATGTTGTACCTGAGGAGTAGTAATTAAATCAATGCAATGAGGCAGTGAAAGGCATGAAAAAGGGACTGCCCCAGCAGCATAGGTGGAGCTCATAGGATCCCCTGTGGGGTGAGACATCTGCTTCAAAGGGCTCACAAAAGAGATGCAGGGAGCCTGCATGTTTATCTGGGAGAGGGTGGGACTGGGTCCCAGTCCCTTTCCTCCTGATTTTTCTTTGGGCTCTGCTTGGCAGAGGTGGGGCTGTGTCTGTCGGCCTGGCTCCTGCCTGGCTGCTGCATGGTGCCACTCCTGAGCCATGCCCTGCAGGCTCTGTCGGGGCTCAGGGAGCAGCAAGCCCGGCCTACCTGACAGCTCTCTGGTGGCTTTTTTCAAGGAGGAGCCAGTTTTCAGATGGTCACAAGGTGCAGACACCCCCTGTCGCCACACACAAAGCAGGAGGTGAGACTGGGTTGGAAGGATGCTGAGACAATAGGGTGTGTGGGGGGACTTCAGGGACTTTACTGCCACTGACACATTTGCAAAACAAGTGGGAGATTGAAAAGGGAGACTGGGGTGGGAGGGAGAGGCTGTGGGCACATATTCCCATAATGATGAGCTGCAGAAGGAAGACATAGGTGAAGCCCTAACACTGGTAGAGGCTGCCTTGGGCCAAAGCAGGAGCTGGGCAAAGTCTTGATCCTGCCAGCCGTGTGTTGTCAAGCTCTGGCTGTTCTCTGGACTCACTAATGTTATCTTCACTCCTGGGAGAGGGTGGGGGCAGCTTCAAACTTGGAGGCAGTCCACTTCTACCCAAAGCAAAACAGTTGTTTTGATACCACATTAACCATGCTGGTTATTTTGGGAATTTTCCACCTTTTTGTTTTCTGTCCTCATTACATGTAAGAAAAATTGGCTAATGGTGGCATTTCAGAACAGGAATGTTGCAACAGTTGTAGAGCAGCTGCGTAGTTGTGCCTGTTGGAAAGATGTTCCTTTGCCCTCCCCTCTTGGCTTCAGCTGGGCTTGTTCCTGCTATGCTTTCCTTCTGGATTTTCTCCTTTTGGGTTCTCCTTTTGTTTATGCTCCTTTCTTTCAGGCTGGGGCACATGTTTCCAAGGGTCTGGTTCCAAGAGCCAGAGGTCACAGTCTCTTGAGCATTTAAACTCAGACATGGATTTTGTAACACTTGTGGGGGGAAGAACAGCCTTGGTTTGGCATTTTTGGCAGCCTTCTGTCTCCAGACTCCAGGCTGCTCTCTGTACCATTCCTGCTACCTTGCTGGGCACAGGAATAGCCTGAACCACAGGGCAGCTGCTGGCATTCCCACTCCCACAGCTGTGTCAGGTAGTGAACTCCATGGTACTTGTCCTGCTGGCCTGGGAGAGACCCAGGGCCCGGGGTCTCATCCTGTTCCGTGCCAGGACAGCCCTGATCCTTGTAACATGGGGAGCACACAGCGTGGCCGGCTGTCCTTGGGCACTGCTGGATCCCTGTGATCAGATGGCAGAAGCCACTGTGAGCCCCTGGCCTTTGAGCAGGGTAGAAACTGCAGCTGGCAGGCAGTTGGAGGAGCAGCCTGGTAAACACAGCCCCGTGAGTGGGTGATAAGGGAGCACTTGCCCCCGGGCACACTCCCTGGGCAAGCCCTTTGCCCAGGGCTGTCACCCACCCTGCCTCACGGGCAGTGAGCTGTGGTCCTTCAGCCCTTCAGCCTGGCCTCCTGCGCTGCCTCCCGGGCACCTTTGCTGCCAGCTCTGCTTTCCTACTAAGGCAAAGTGCAAAGGCTCCTCTTGCATCACTCCAGGGGGTGAGGGCCAGGCAGGGCTGTCCCTGCCAGCAGCAGCACTGCAGGCACCAGGCAGGCACAGGAGGCTTTAAAAATCCACAGACCTGCTCCCATCCACTTCTCCATTGCCTGTAAATGAAATAGAACTAGCTTTGAAAAATAAAAATACTCCTAGCAAATGGAAGCTGCTGCTTCCAGCTGAGGTTTGTCTCCTCCAAGGGGAGGACAATTTCACTTTCAGAAGGCCAAAATGTTTTCTGCATGAAAGGCCTGGCTCACCTCTCCATGGAAGCACTGGCATCTTGTGTCACCTATTTGTAAGGCAGCTTTTAACCTGTTTATGTAACCTATTAAAAATACATCAATGTGCTTTCTTATTCTTTTCTTCCCTGCCAAGGAGCTGGTCAGACACAGTTTCAGGTGAGCTCTGAGAGTTGGTTCCTGCTGAAGGGTGCAGAGGGGTCAGACATGGTAGCAGTTTCCAGACTCAGTGTGGGTTCTGCGGGAGCAATCCGTGCCTTGCTGCACACCCTCTCCCAGTGCTGGCACACACAGGCCTCAGGCACAGCACCCTGTTTTTTGGAGAGCATCATACCTCTCTAGCCCCCTGGTTAATGGTTAGACCCACATTGCAGAGCTGTCTCCCCAGCCCAGTTCTGGAACGAGTCATGGATTTTAAATATTGGATTTTATGATCTTGCCCTTTGGACTTATTTTTGCTGTGGCTGTTCGTAAACTGTGTGCTTCTAAAAGCTCAGGCTGCTGTGAAATCCTCTCTGCACTGTTGCACCCCTGAACAGGTACATTTTGGTGAGTTGTACAGGAGCAGTGTCTGATTGAAGTTGGCACAAAAGTCTCAAGGCAGGAGGCTGATTTTGGCTCAGTTTGGTGTAGAATTGCCTCTCAAAGAAAGTGCTGGTGAGAAGGGGCCTGTGGCAGTCTCAGATTCAGCCAGCCTTTGGAGCAGGATTGTTGCCAAAGCTGGGTCAGAGCAGCTAAGCTGGAAAATTTGAAAGGATGGAAGCCCCTCCACTCTGGGTCCATGTCCCAGGGCTGCACCACCCCTCCAGGGAAGGAGCTTTTCCTAACACCCTGAACCAGGCAGGCTGCTTACCTCCTGGAAAGGCTTCAGCCTCATCCTCCCTTCTAGCTGCCAAGTCACCGTAGGCTTCTGCTAAATCACCCCAACCTCCTCTCCTTCCCAACTAACCAAGCCAGCTCCTTCCAGCTCTCCCTGCAGGCAATGTTCCCAGACCTCAACCAGCCTGGTGGCCCTGCTAGTCCTCTCCAGCTTCCAGCAGATCCATGCTCATCCTGGAGGGGCTGTTCACACCCCCCGAGTCCTGCTGAAAGGGAATGCTTTGAGCTGGAACATGCTGACATCAAGCTCAGAAACAAGCTCCTTGTTGTGTCTGCTCCAGTAAGGCTTCAGGAGAAGCTGGTTTTGATGGATTTCTGGATGAGATGGGTCTGAGCCACCTGGCACGTGCCCAGCACTGATAAGCAAGGCCTACCTGTGCCTGTCTCCTTGCAACACCACAGCATCCTCCTGACCAGAGGGGTACAGGCTACTGCCTTGAGCTGTCTCCTGAGCCCTATGGAAGAGCAACAGAGTTTGGGGATATCACCAGCACCAGGCTGCCATGTCCTGGGTTCTGGACTATTCAGAGCAGCAGGCACCTCTCCACTGGCACCTGGGCACTGTCCACCCCTACTGGAGTAGGTCCAAGGGGTTCAGCTGCTCCCAGATTCCAGAGGCTGTGTGGCTGAAACCCAGGGGAACTGGTGGAGCTGGCTTGCCCTGCTCAAGGCCAGCTCATCCACCTTCACCTTGCTGAAACAGCTCACTATGAATGGAGAGGCAGATGCAGTGCTTCATTTAGATGGATAACAGGGAGCAGAGGGACTTTGCAGGGTCATCCTGGGCGCCTCAGCGGGGTCTGGGCTCCAAATCTGAGTCTTTGTGGAGCACTAGGCTCCCTTCTCTTTTCCCTTCTGTGGGACTGAGATGTGCTGGGCACCCCATTGCTGCCCAGAGCTTCCTGGTCCCCACTGGTCACTCCTCTCTGAAGGATGGTGTCACATGCCTAAGGCTGCTCCTCTGAGGTCTGAAAGATTAGACTGGAAGTTTTATGGGTGGGAGATGTCCCAGGGCTGAGGTCAGAGACAGAAATGTAATGTCTGCCCTGCTCTGTTATACAATCCGCTATTAAATAATCACTCAGGGTCACTGAGTCTGCCAGGCCCCTGCAGCTGGCAGTGGGGCTGCTGGAAAAACAGGATCACTGTCCATGGACAAGAAGGAGAAGGAAAAGCAGTAACAGACTGTTGGGCAGTCCCATGCTCAGACCCTTCCCAGCCTTGGGGTTCCTCATTGCAAGGGGCTTTTCAGTGGCAGAGGCACTTGCAAGGACACAGCCTGTTTGTAGGATGGTGGCAGTGGGGAGGTGGCTGTGGCCACGGTGACAAAAGGATGGTGTTTGTCTGTGGGATGCTGTGGCTGGAAGTGTGCAAGCAGGGAACTGTGCCTGTCACAGGGACAGTGGTTCTCCTGTGAATTTGGGCAAGGGGAACACCCAGCACCCATCCAGCACTGCCCATGACTGCTCTCTGCATTTCCTAAAGCTGCAGTGGAGCCAAGGCTGGGGCAGAGCCATGGCCTGCCATGAGCTGCCAACCAGCACACAGGGGCTGGGCCTGTGCCACAGTGCAGCATTGTGCTGCCCACCTGGGACGCCCATTTAACAGCGCTGTGTTAATGATTTCAAAGGTACTGCAGAAGAAAGTAGCCGAACTGGACACTTGGAGGACATCAGGGAACCTGTGGGAATGGCTACTGCTGCCCTGCCTTGCCTGCAAGTGAGCGGTCACTCAACAGAGCTGGAATGATTTTCCCTAGGAGATACAGGCCAGGTCCAGGAAAAGAAACCACACTGGTGGGGGAAGCTCACAAAGCAAAGCTGGGAAGCAGCCACACTGCACTCAGAGCCTGAGCATTGCTGTCCTGGGATTCCTGTCCTCCAGCATGCATTTACAGCTAGCTAGCCTACTTCTGCTGGGTAATTTCTTCCTAATAAGGGGTTTTGGCAGGTGGCTGTGCTCCCCTGAGGGAGAGCAGCTCAATACAAGCAACAAACTGGTGTGGAGCAGGACAAGTTCTTTTTGATTTAACTCGGAGGGTGGCAGTGAAATAGGAATGCTGGGGGATAACTGTATGGCACTGAGAAAGCTTGAGATATCTCTTACTTGGATTTGCTGCCTGTGATCAGGGAGGCATTTTGGCTTAATGCAGCTGTTTTGTTATTTAATGCCACCTGATTTTCCTTTACACTTTCCCAAATGTTTAAAGCCATTCGTTGTTGTGCTTATCCACTTTTTAATCTAAGGTCAAATGATAGGATCTTAATCCCTGGATCTCAAATGAATTTGCCTTTTGGTTTCCAGCCCTCTGCTACAGCCAGGCTTGCTGTCCCCTTTTCCTCCTCTCATTGTTTCTCTATTTCTTGCAAGTTAGCATTACTTGAGAAGAACAAAACTGGTGATACCCCCTGATTAATATTTCCAAACAATTTCATGTTTTTCCTTGTGATGAGTCCCTGGAGCATTTTTGTCAAACTACCTAAATGTGATCATAGCCAGTGCAATGCTGTGCTTTTTGTGGCTGACAGGGTACAGAGAGCTGCCATGGAATGATCCTACAGGACAGCACCTAAATCAATTTTACAGTCTTCCTGGAGGAGAGGGGGCAGGACAGCCTCTGAATCAGATTCACAAATCCAAAGATGACAGGACGCTAATCTCAGCCCCACCCTCTGGGTTTTGCTAAAATTTGGTTTCTCATTCCATTTGCAATTGCCCTGTGCTGCAAGTTTCTTGCTCAAATGTATGCATAAAATCTTGGAGGAAGATAAAATACAATTTTTCAACAGCATGTTCTAGATTTTATTTAGAATAGATGAGATCGAATTAAATTCACTCATTAATCCAGCCAGATTAAATGGCACATTCTACTTTGTGTCCTTACCTTAGCCCAGGGGCCAGACTGAACCTACAAACACAGACCACAGAACTGGTCTTGCCTTTCATGTCTAGACTCAGACCCAGACTTTGCTTCAATACCTGAGACTAGATCCAGACAGTTTCATTGGTGTGTGAAGGATCACAACCTATGTCCAGGCCTGGCTGGGAGCACAGGAGTGATCCCAGCCCTGAAGGGTGCAGCTGCCCAGGTACCCTCTCATAAGCCCAGGGTGCTGCTGGGGGAGGCTCAGGTCCCCACCTCAGCTGGCTTTCCTGGGTGCTGCCATCACTGGGTCTTAGCCCAGCTCCAGATGGCAGCTGTCTTTGAGGTACCCAAGTCCTTGGCAAGGCAGCCTCTGCTAGTCCAAAACTTCTCCTGAGCTGGGTACAGTGAGCTGTGACCATGTGGCTTAATTACATCCAAACCCATCCAATCCTGAGAGAGCCTCATCCAAGGGTGTGTGCATGACCCTGTGCTGGAGGGATTTGCCTTCCAAAAGGACAATGAGAGCTGCAGGTCACATTCTGCTGTGGGAATTCAGCAGGACTCTCTTAAGTACAACTCATCTCTATGCAGCCAGTCTGGACTTGCCTGGAAAACAAGCATGTGAAACCCTGGGAATAAACCACCTACTTCCTCGTGAGGACCTGTAAGTCTCACCCAGCAAGTCAGTCATGTAGCTGCAAAGGATGCACATAAACTCTGCTGTGTAATTAGCACCCTTTGTATGCCAGGGGAATCATTCCTAATCCCACATGCATCCAGGAGCCAGGTTTGCCTGCACGGCCCTCGGTTCCAAACACCCTCCCCAGGGGTAAAGCTGCACGGCTTCCCTCAAATCAGGATAACATGGTAATGCTTTGCCCCATATGGGAGGAGCTGGCTTGTGATACAAGAGATCAGTTACGCTGCAAGGACAAATATCCTCTTCTAGAACCCACAGCCAGTGCTGGTAGGAGTGTTTGCTGGTAAACACCTGCAGCACTCTGAGCTAAATTAGTCTGATTTTACTACATTGAAGGATGAAATGTCTACACAGCAATTTTCCTGATGAGACTCTGAACTGCCACTGAGGCCTCTGTGATGGTGGAGTACTTTCCATCCCAAATTGTCCCTGGTAGCCTGATTTTTGCATTCTGCACCATGCAGAAAAAGCACTGGTAGTACAGGCTGAAGCCCAGTCACTGATCATATGGGGACTCCTCCTTCCTTGAGTCTTGCTGTTTGTACCAGAAAAACAGACACAGCTCCTTGGAAGGAGGCTGTGTGACTTCAGGAGCTGGTGCAATTGTCTCTGCAAGACATTTGATGGGTGTCACAGTGACAGCTGGAGCAATACTTCTTTTTCTAGGATGAGAAGTTTGGAAAATAGAGTCCGGGGGTGTGGGAAATCTCTTTCTCTGTGCTGTCCTTGATTGACTAAAAGGTCATTGGGAAATGGCAACAAGGGGATCCAGATCCGAGAGATGCTTCTCATTTTTAGAGGTGCAGGGCAGGCAGCAGGTGGGTAAGCAGAGCTGGCCTCCAGGTGAGGCTGGAAGCAGCATGCTGGCTGTAGACAGGGGCATCTCTGCAGTGGGGCAGCCCTGGGCACTCCAAGCAGCACTGCAGTCTTTACAGGAGTCACATCTAACCAGACTTTTAAAACAGCCTTGTCTTGTGCTGTTGCATAAGAGCAAGATGGAAATCTCCCTGTGTTTATACAGACTGAAATGACAGGACTCCACTTGAGCAAACGCTTGCAATGAAAGATTCAGCCGGCTATGGAGCTTTGCTTCCAGGAGCAGAAGAAAACCACATAGCCATTTAATCCTTTGAAGACTTCAGTCACCCTGGTAAGATGTAGACAGGGCAGGACAAGGGAGATGGCTTTCATGTGCCCCTGCAAGACTGTCACTTCCTGGACAGGCTGCGTCCCACCACCCCAGAGAGCCACACAGACCAGCATGGCTCCAGAGCCTGCCCACTGCCCTTTCCCCGCTGTGACACAGTCCCTCGATTTAAACCCTTAATCCTGGGAAGATTGTGCAATAGCTCCTTCAGGCTGAGAACGGATTATGCCCTGTTTCAAAGGTATTTGGCACTGTGGCAGCACTGGAAGAGCCCAATCAACCGGCCCAACCTCTCCTGCAAGAGCACCTGAAGGCAATTTTTGCAGCTGGTGCCTAGCAACTTGCTCTCACAGATAAAATTCAATGTTATTTCCACCTTCCTCCCCAGAGGAGCAGCTCCTGGGTCAACATCAGGGAAGAATGAGACATTTCCTACTCAGTTTGCTATAAATTAGTGCTATGGGAGGGGCTGCTTTCTTTCTCATGTGTCCTGCAGCCAGCTAAAAAGGCATCTCTTCTCAACCTGTGGGACAGCTTCAGATTGAGGAGATTAAGTAAAATGTTATTATTTCCCCCTCCTTCCCGGTTTGTTTTCTGCTCCCAAATGACTCTGCTTTCTCACAGTTCTTTGCAGAAGAACCAGGCTTGGATTCATACTGTGTCTCACCTTGGCTTTGCTTGGGTGAGCCCCAGGTTATGCCAACAGACACAGGTAGCTACAAGCCCGGGGCTGTGCTGAGCACTCTCTAATGACGCACAGCAACTTTTAGATCACCTGTGTGACAAATGAAGGCAGCCCCGAATCTGAGAGAGATGCCTTTGGGAAACGGCGAGCACCAGAAAAAAAAAAAAGCATAGGAAACCAAGATTACCTGTTTACTGGGCTGAGATGTTTGCCAAGGTAGTGAGGCAAACACCAGCCAGCCTGGGCAGGACCGAGCAGCGTGCTCCTGCATGTGGGCAGGGCACAGGAATGGGCGCAGAGAAGAGGGAGCCAAAGGGAGGATCCAGCTGCAGAGTGGGCAGAGGCTCAGGGAGCAGCACATCCTCCAGCGCCCGCTGGCACGGTGCAGAGGGAGGAGCGCTCCAGCTGGAAGAGTTGGAAGCTGTGAGTAGATGAAGTCCATAAGTAGTAGCGCTGTGGTACGGCAGCCTGGGTGTTTTTCAGAGAAAAGCAAGACGAGGTGCCTTGTAGGGCATTTCCAAACTCTGGGAGGGCACGTGTTTGCCTCCGGGAGCAAGCCCGAGAGCCAGATGGATTTCCCAGTGGGAGTCTGTTAGGACATCTCAGACTTGCCTGAGTGACACAGTCCCCTCGGTGGGGTCTGCTGGGAGAGCAGCTGGCCACTGCCTGCCCTGGCTGTTCCCAGTGCCGGCGCTGGTTCACCACTGCAGAGCTGAGCTCTCCTTGCCTCCCCAGTTTTATTCCTTGGGAAGCCCTGGGTGGTCCTAGCAGCTGCAGCCAGAGGGCTGGAGGTGCCTTGCTGCTGTGGACAGGGTGGTTTTCAGCAGAGCCCCCTGTATCTCACAGCTGTCTGCCCGCAGCTCCTGACTGCCTGCAGCACTGCACAGTCTGGAAGGAGGAGTGGGAATCACCTGGCCACTAGTTTGGACTCTACAGCCTGAAGCAGATGAGGAGAGAGGTTGGTAAGCGCAGAAGCACCAATGGAGACGTCTCCAGCTCATCCCAGGACCCTCAGCCCTCCAAGGAGGGACATGGCTTTGTTCCCCAACCCAGCAGTGGTGCTCAGCGTGCTTCAGGTAGGTGTTTGGCTTAAGGATTTGTATCATGCAGATTACTTTAAACAAACCCAAGTGCATTGCACAGGCTGGCTGATGGGGATTGAGAAACACTTTATACAGAAAGGCATAAAGGAACCAAGTCTGATTCAGCCTTTCCTAGTGTGCAGTGGGTGCCTCTGCCTGCATGGGTCTGGAGCTGGCCAGTTCCCTGCCGTGCTGTGATATCTGAAGGCCAGGAGACATTGTGATGGCTCTGTTTCCCTTCCAGCCACAGGGCGGGACAGCTCGCCAAGCAGCCTTTGTCTCTCTGCATGCGTGACACTGGTGGTGTTTGGTGGCTGGCCCAAAGTGGGTTTGGGACAGCAGAGTTTTCAGAGCAGCATGGCCAAGCCCAGGAGAAGATGCTGCCTGTAGTACAAACTGTGACTCTGCTGGCTGAAGGGACTACTGGCCCAGCCAGCACTCGTGGGTCAGGCGTTCTGCTCCAGCAATCCCCTCCCACCACAGCCTGCCTGTGGTTTGCACAGTTGTTCCCAAGCTCCTTCCAGGCCAAATCCACAGCCAGCCTAAGCAGTTCTAACTGCTAACTTCAGTCCTAACTCCTTTTCTAGCCTGGCTCAGAGGAATGTAGCTGGGAGTGCAGTGGAAATGGGGACCTTTGCAACCAGGAGAAGACACGTTGATAGCAAAATCCTCAGCTCAGAAAATGTCTCCTTCCTTCCTGCAAATATAAGGTCACAGAATTAAGGCTGAGCTTTCTGACCTCTAAGTTCTTGACTTCTGCTCTCACGTTACAGCAGCAGCAAATCCTGTTGCATGAAGCAGAAATCTATCTGTCTGAACACACACTACTTCAAACTCTTCTCTGCGTAAACTGTTCCAGACTTGACCAGGAGCAAGGCTGATTACTAACAGCAGAATTAGGAAACTTCTTTAGTATTGTGGTGGTTTTCCCTGTTTTTTTGTTTGTTTGTTTGTTTGTTTGCATATTTAGCTGCCGAAGCTTAAATTGCCAGCTAACAGTGTTTCTAGCTTTCAGTGTGTTTTACTTCAGGTTATTTCCCTTCACCTGATTGCCTGAGGTATCTGCAATACCTCTGTGTACAGTGTGCTCTGCCTTCCTTCTGATAGAAAGAAATGTTTTCCTTCACTTGGTATGAGGTTAGAAGGACAAGCAACTGTGTTCTCATTTTCAGCAAATTAATAGAGGATATTAAACCACAAAAGGCTAATGGCAACATTTTTGGTTTTTTTTCCAGCATTCATATGAACAATTTTGTACAAAGGGGTTGAATCCTGCTTCCATTTATGCTCACATAAATCCACAATAATAAAGTTCTCTTACAGAACTGCATATTTTATTAATCCAAGCATCATAAGTAGAATTGAATATATGATAATAGTTTGATTGCTGTATCCTTCTGCAGTTCTCACTTGCTGTGATTACAGCTTTTTAGACATTTTAATTTCTTTTTCACATGTTGTAGATATTAAACTTTCTGACACAAGGGCTGCCAGTATAAGCACAGCAGGAGGTGTCATGAACCCCTGTGTCAGGAAACCCCTTATGTGCTACTTTGACGGTAAAGGAAAGCAAAGTTTGGAAAGCAGTTGTAGGTTCTTCTGTGATGGTTGGTTTTTACTTTGAAAATCTCTTCTGAGCTTTCCCTCCACCTCCATTTTGGCAGAACCAAACTATTTGCTTTTAAGATTGCTGTCACTCACAAGCTGCCTCTCCAGGAGTAAGTACGTTAGCATAGCTAAAAACTGAGAAAAATGGTTTCTACAGAGGGCATTGACACGATGAAGTGGGGTTTTGCAAGCCTGTTGCTCACTTCACATGATGATTTATTGGACATTGTGTTCTTCTAACAAGTGACAAGGTCATACTGACCAATTTGCCTGTGAAGGTTTACACAAGCTTTAGCAATAGGAAACCTCAGAGACTTTAAAACTTCATGCAGTAAGGGCAGCTCGCTTTCACAGCTGGCCTTTTAAAAGGATGAAGCAAGGTCAGTTCGGACGGAGTGGAACGAGACTCCTGCAAACCCCAGAGACAGCAGGAATGTTTGGTTCTGTGGAAACTTGTGTGGCTCGTTCTGGTTGAGAGCTGTCCTGTGTGTTTCCAGCCCAGCGCTACAGTGAGGAGCGAGGAGCTGGAGTTAGGCTGGACACGCAGAGCGGTCCGGTCACTCTCCTGGCTGCCCCCAGGGCCCAGCAGAGGTGGAAACGGGGCACAGCAGGGTGAGGCTGCAGGTGGACACCAGCACAGGGGTGACGGTCCAGCAGTGAGCTCTGCGTGGGCGAGCTGTGGCCGAGGGAGGGAGGCGCCCCTGAAGGATGCGGCCCGAGGTGTTTTGTATGGCCCGGGGGCTCTCACCCTGTGCCCGCTGCTCAATCTCAGCGCACGCGGGGGGAGCCGTGAGGGAGGCACTCACCCACACCTCAGGCCGGGCAGCTGGGCCTGTGTGCGTGTCTGTGTGTCTCTCTCTGTGTCTGTGTGTCTCTGTCTATGTCTGTGTGTCTGTGTGTCTCTCTCTGTGTCTGTGTGTCTCTCTCTGTGTCTGTGTCCCTCTGTCCGTGTGTCCCCGCGCTGCCCTCACGCCGCCCGGCCCCTCAGCGCTCCCCGCCGCAGCCCCCGGGGGCTCCGGCCCCGCCCCGCCCCGCGCGAGGCCCCGCCCCGCGCGCCGCCGGCGGGCGATAAAGGTCTCGCGGCGGAGCTCTGACGTCACGGGGAGTTAATTTTAAACCCGGACAAGATGGCGGCGAGGGACGCGGCGCGGCGCGCGGGCCCGGCCCGCCACCGGCCCGCCCCGGCAGGTAACGCGGCCCGGCGGCGGCTCCGGGGGCGGCGGCGGGGCTGCGCTCGCGAGCTCGGCCCGGAGCGCGGGGCTGGGCGGCCTGGCGGCGCCGGGGGAAAGGCCCCCGTGTCTCCCCCCTCCTCAAAATGGCGTGGGCGGCCGCCCGCCCCCGAGGGGCGGCGGGGAAATCGCGGCGGCCGGCCCGCGGTCGCTCCCCGCGGGGTCACCCCGCTTTCCGCTCTCTGCTGCCGGGGCCTCCCCCGCCGCGGGCGGCGGCGCGGGTCGGAGCGGGGGCGGCCCGGGGGCCGCTGTCGGTGACCTTATTCCCCGTGCGGTGCGGCCGGGCCCCGCCGTGTGCGCCTCGGCCCCGGGAGCAGCGGGGACTGCGGCTCGGGGGCCGCGGGGCGGTAGCGTTGCACAGTGCCGGGACCGGAGCCAGGCAGCCGGAGGGCGCCGACTTTGCGGGGCCGCGTGCCTGGCGGAGGAGCAGCCCGGGGAGGAGGTGACCGATCCCTGCCGGCCCGGCCCCCACATGGAGCCGGTGCGCTCCGCTGTCAGCGCCGCTGTGCCGTAACCTGTCCCCGGTGCGGACGGGACGCGGCCGTGGCTGGGTGTTGAGGCTCGGTGCGCTGGAGCCTGCGCGGTGTGCTTCCCAAAGTACGGCCGTTCCTCGGGAACGGCTTCGGAGCCAGAGCTCGTAGCGGTCTCCCTGCCGTACGCATGGCGAGGGGCGCCTGGGACTTGTGAGGCTTGTACTGCCTCGAACGCTGAGTTGGATCATGTGAGGTTTTTAGCACTGCGCTGGAACACTGAACTATTTTAACATCTTTGTTGTGTAACTCTCACTTAATTTGGAAGCAGAACGATTGGACTGGGCGCAATTAAACAAAACCTAGCAGATGCCATGTGGCACGATTGGTTTCAGTTGCTTGGTTTGCAAGCCAACTAGAGATAGGGAAATCTAGCTGCTTTGTAAACTGGGAGATACAGAATGACAACTCACCTGGCTTGATTTACAGGGAGGAAAAGGCAGTGCTTCTGAGCATCAGGAAAAGTTTGATTGTGTTTGGCAGCATTGCAATTTAAATAATTTAAAAGAGCTCAGAGATTGAAGTTGAGGATAAGATGCTACTTTGCTACTCAAGGACAGGTCTCCCTCCCTCCCAGCACTGCTCAGTTTTCTTTGATTTCAATTTTCTGTGGATTTGCCACTGTGCATTTAATAATCTCAAAGCATTAGATTATTGCATATTTTTCTCAAGGTCATAAAAGTGCCACCACATCTGTAATAAATGGCCATTAATTGGCTGTGTCATCATTAGGAGTGGAAGCATGCACATGTCACTCTTAGTTGATTCTGAACTTCTGTCATGGAACAATTAGGTGATAGGGTCAGTGTGGATGGTCTGTGCCTGCCTGCAGAAGGGTTTTCTGTACGGTGAAATAAAGCAGAGGGATCGCTTGGAATAGTTACAAGAGCAGCAGTGAAACAGGAGCGGCCTTTAACTCCTCTTGTACCATGACCGAGTGCTGCTTAACAGCTGTTACCCCTCCTAGCTTACCCTAAAACAAATAATCGTGTTACAGCACCTCCTCAAATAATAGCACTAGTTTTTTGCTTTTTCAGCTGGAATTATTTTGAAAGCAGGGAGTGGAATTGAAGAAACCTAGCAGAGAAATAGTTCCAGCACAGAACAGTTTTACTTGAATTGTTGTGAAAGCATTGTTTTAAACATGACAGTCTGTCCTGGTTTAGGAGATTGGTCAGCTCTTGTTCATGTTGCACGCACAGGAATGCTTGAGCCATGTCTAACAAGATTCCTAATACTTAGGTACCTTGTGTCAACTGCAGTCTCTGTGGTTTGCTTAAGTATCAGTGATAAATGTTTGCTTACTGACTGTACTAATAAAGTAGCACTGACTGGAGTGAGGTGCTGTGATAGAGGAGTTGTTTTCTCTTCCTGCCCTAATAATGAAAGGTACACTACCTCATGCTGGCTCGCCTGGACAGGAGAAGAGCTGGGGTTTTCCTCCAGCGTAATAGAGGAGCACTTATCTCCCGGTGGCCACATCACATCGTGGCCAGCTTTGAGTTTCCCAAATTCCAAACCAGATGAAATAGGCAGATGGAAATGCAGGTGTGATTTCTGTGTCCTTGTTGGCTGGGTAGTGAACCACAGTGGTATTGGTCTCCAGTGCCAGCACGATCACAGACTT